TCATCACATTGGAAATTCAAAAAAGATTTGTACAACTGAAAGAATTGAATTTGTTGTAGCTACTATAGTCGACGAGAAAAATGAAAAAGAAAGGTGGACAAATAGTTTTATGTTTAACGTTTTCTATTGTTGCCAAATCCTTGTGATCAAACACTGCTACATCTATAATACACTATCACATTCTTATCATACATGCTTTTCAGTATATCAGCTAGTCCCTAAGCATACATGTGATTAACAAAAATCATATTTATTTTGAATGTCACATTAATCCTAGTGCTATAACCGGTCGCACAAGGCAACTGCTTCTAAACGACGAAAGATCCTACATTTTCTTGCAAATCATTAAAGATATTGTGAATAGAGTAGCTTGTAGAGAATTGAAAGAGCTTTAAATAAACTATTTTAGAAAAACCAGTTTTTTCTTTTTTTCCAAAAAATTAGCTTGAATCATCTACAGGTCGCATTTTCCTCTAGTGTTCCACAGTATGTTGAACTTAACGACCTGTTCAAAGTGAAGATATCGTGAATATACCAGTTTGTAAAGAATTGAAAGTGCTTTAAATCTTTCTAAATCAGCTAAACAATAGAAAAATCTCAGATTATGTGAAAAAATCTAGAAAAAGATATTGAGGTGATGATTTGATGCCGATATTAGTAGTAACTTTTTCAAAAGAAGCTGAGAAATTGTTCAACATTCGGGCGACTAACTATATCTCAAACTCGAGATTCAAACAGGATCCACATTTTAACCCGTGTCCAATCTAATCAAGTTTCGGACAGCATCATTTCGAACAGCACTCAATGGTTCGATCGAACATTTTCCACCTGATGAGATCCTAAAGCAAGGTCGAAAACACTCGTGGTAGCTTAGGTACCGAATAACTCTAACAACAACCAAGTTGTAGCGACAACTCTAAATATCTAAACATGATAGAACCGAACAAGGCAATTATAACGTATAAATGAAGATATTGTGACTACACCAGTTTGTAGAGAATTGAAAGAGCTTTCTGAACATGCCTTGATTTCTTCATATGCTCTTATAGTGCCAGAGAAAAGCGCATGAAAATAATTTCAATGGTGCTCTGTAATATCAGCTTCCAAGTAAAGATCCTATGTAGATGGAGCGGCTATAACCACTCAAAAGCACCTAACATCAAATGTTCATAGTTTTCTGCTTCTCACAGGACAATTCTGAGCAACAAAGAAAAGTGGGCAGATTCTTTTGCCTGTACGCATCAGTCCTTTTTCGTTAATTAATAGGGAATGAGTGGAGAAATCTTGAAAATGTTATGACGGCTGGTACTGAACAAGACATGACATGTTTATCACAAAATAGTACCATTTCAAACTATAGCATTAAGCACATTCTACAATAAAACATTTGTTATTTTTCACAGAATGCAAATATACAAAATCAATACTCTAATCACTCCTTCACAGGTGTTGTTTTTCAGTAATATACACACCCGTGCCAATTTACAAGATAACGAACTGGAAAATAACTATTTAAGCACGATCACCTATTATTTCTAATAGTAGTTCATTGACGCTCTGTACCCGAAATAATGCATCTCATTCTGATTAGTGCTGCGCTTATGTTGGCCATAATGGCTCAGACTGGTGAGTTTATTTAAAGTCGAGAAATGTGTTCTGTAATTACATTCTGGTCATGTTTTATTGTAGTTAGTGGTCATCATCCGCCTGTTGCATACGGCGAAGCTTGTGTAACACAAGGTTTTCATAATGGACATAAAGCTGTTGATATTGGATCGTATGGTGCTAAACGGGTGAATTTGTATGCAATCTGGGAAGGTACAGTAGTTAGTACATGTAATGGTGCCGGAGATTTTAATCAAAACGTATGTGGATCTTGTGGTAATTCGGTTGAAATAAGACATAACACAGTTATACTACTTTATTGCCATTTGACATCGGGTTCATTAACCGTCTCAAAAGGTGCTAAAGTTGCACGTGGACAGAAAATCGGTCTCATG